CCCTTTGACCTTCTGATGTGCAATCACTTTCCTATTTATAGGTGACAACACAATCTTTCTTGCATTTGATGGTGTTGATGCTGCTCAGCAAACGTTTCTCTTGTGATTGGTACTGTAACTGTTAAGTTATCATGAAATCTTTGATGTTTTTCCCATAACAATCTGACAGGGCTACTGTTTGTATTGATAATCTATTATCTATAAAATAATAAGAAATGTTTACCACAGCAGGAACTATTTTGTTTCTCTTGCATCAATTCCCCATCCTTTGTCTTCTCTTTCTGATGCAGCATCCTTGCAGGTATGGTGTTGTGGAGATAAAAGGAAGGCAGAAAAGTCTGCCTTCCTTTTATCTCCACAACACCATACCTGCAAGGGGGTGGGGTTATATTGAAAGGTACTGTCCTGGCCCCACATCACTCAGCCAATGTCACAGAGAAGTGGAGAATTGAACCTGGGTAGCTCATTTTGACACCTTAATCACAACTACTACTGTTCAATTAATTACTTAATTGAATTAATTAATTAATTACTACTGTTCAATTAATCAACTTCCTATGTAACAAATGAATTGTTCAACACACACTGAGAAGCATAGAAAGGGAGCAATCAAATTAGCATGGCTTTATGATGGAAAAAAAAACACATTTAGGAGTATATCCATGACCAATGGACTACTTTTGAAAACTCACAAACTTACCCACAATTTTTCAATCTGCACAAGTGTGTAAACTTCTGTATTTCCATGATTTGTTTGTTAAGCATAGATTTCAGATGTACTATTTGCTTGTGAATTACTCTTACTGAGCAAAATGAGTCTACCTTCTGAATATAGATGGCATGATGCCTCCCCCCATACAAAATGAACATCAATTTCAATACAGAGACATACTTCTCAAGATGCCTATGCTTTGCTGAAAAATACTGGGATTTGTTTCAGTACTGGGAAGGTTTAAGACAAAGCCATTTCTATTTGATTTATGCATTCAGAAAGTACAAATCCTTCAAGTCGGAGGTCACAGAGGGACTTGGGTGGAGGAGACTTCTCAATCTCACCATACAACATAAATCCATGAGAATCAAGGAGCAACTCTGATTAAAATTATTCTTCTAATGGGCAATGTATTACTGGTTCAGATGGAAAAAACTGCCAATTTGTAGCCTCTTTGAGAATGAGAAGAATCTTTATCTAGGACTACTGTTTGTTTTAAGAAGGAATTTTTAGACTAGGAGTTAGAAGGCTAGTTAGAAGTTCATATCCCTCCTTAGTGTTGGATGACCACTGGTTGACAGCTACTCTACTTTTCAGGATTGTGTCCTGGAAAGGTTCCCATGGAAGCCTTTCTGAATGGTTGGAGGAAAATTGGACCAATACAAATAAATCAACATAAGGTTTAAAATTAACAGCAGGAGGGAATGTTCTTTTCATATTTTGTATCAGCAAATTGCATGTTCAGGCCTGGCTCTCAACTAAGTTTAGGATAAAATCATATTCGTTACCACCAAAGTCTCAGATAAACATGTATATGGGTTTAAGTAACTTTCTATTAACATTACTCTGCCCCATCCAGGACCTTATTGTAAGACTTGTTTTTTAAGATTGTGTTTTTATAAAACAGAACTATTGGTACAATAGCAAGTAGATTAACAAATAAGTTAATTCAGAATCCACTAAAAGTAAAAAAGAAAGAGAAGCAGAAATATTAATGTCTATTAGTCCACTCCTATTCTCTATACTTTTGACCTATTGTGAATAAGCCGTCTTTGGTTCCTTGCCTTTTGTCGTGTCCCTTTTTACTAGCACTACAAGTCATTGGCAATGTAGATCTTGATTACTGGTATATCTCTGAGGATTTCTTATCCCAAAGTGGGCAGAACAATTGCACATTTTCTCTCCCTCCTGAATTATCCTTCCTAGGAGGGAAAAAGGCATGTATGCTTATATAAAAGAGACAGCACACCTCAATGCTGCTTTTAACACAGTGCATTCCATTTGGTGGGGGTGATTTTTAATTTTAATCGGGTTATTCTTCAATTAACTCAAATGTTATAAATGCCAACAAGGCTGCAGTAGTGGTCTTGAGGATCCCCCTTGGAAATCATTGAACCCCTTTTCCTCCTGATAATGAAAGTTACCAACTTGCTCCATACAACGTAGAAGGTCCATTTGTCACAGCATCTGGAAATCAACAAGGATTAAATCCTCTAATAATGTTGATACTTTTAAGCAGCTGAAAGAAAGGGATTCAGAAATGCAAAGCACATGCATCCCCTTCCCTGTCCTTTCCAAGGAGCCAGGACTTCTCAGTGTGATCCTGAAAGACAGGCAACCAAGGAGATATGCTTTCTGATGAGTCTTGATTTCTTTTCTTTGAAGAAATTTCACCCAGCCTAGGAAGTCCAATTTTGACAATAGTGTGACTGGAGGGATCAAATTCTCTTTGACATGACTCCAACTGACATATGAACAGTGGGAACAGGAGTCACTCAACTGACACATCAACAGTGGGGACAGGTTTTCTAGACCAGGAGGCAATGTAAAGTTGTCCCCTGCCCCACTACTGCACACTGGGAAAGAAAGCCATATCTGCACACTCTCTATTGCCTACATTCACATGGCCCCACTTTTCCAAATCCAGGAATGATTGCACTACACATCTCCATGAGCATTGCCTTGATTTCTCCCGCAGGACAGAACCACTATCCAAGTTTTGCCCCGAGAGAACTAAAACTAACAACGAGGGTGCTTTTTAAGGGCAACCAGCTGCCTAGCCCAGACGCTGAAAACTAATTTATTACCCTGTTCTGCCCTAAAGGGTTATTCACCTGAAATTAAGAGTCGGTGAACTTAGCAAATCTTTTCTCCAAAACGCAGCTTATTCTCCTATGGACTTCATTGCCGTTATGACCATGGGTGTTAGCTCAAAGCGCCCCTGCTCTTCAGCCTTCTGGAATGGATAATTTGATATTTCCCGCAGTGCCACCACTCCTGCCGCTCACTTAAACAAACGAGCCCTGCTTTGAAACCCGTATCACTTTTCCTTATACTGGCCGCAAATAACGCTCTGAGATTGTACTAAACGCCGCCAATCGAGGGAGCAAACCTTCCTGCTTTATTAGCCTGAAAGATGCTTTCCCCAAACAAATTTCTCTGCAATTCGTGGATAGTATGTCCTACTCTGAATTCATAATGTTTTATTTCTGAAGAAACAGCGACAAAACCCTGCAGCCAGGGCGCTATCCAACCTTTCAGGCCAAACCTGCTAACATGGATTGGTAGATTTGCAGGACTCCTCTGCATACGAAGGGGTGGGTTTAAAGAGCTTAAAAGGAAACGGGAGGCCATAGCTGAAGGCAGCGAGCAATCAAAATGAAATATCTTTATAGTGTGGAATTGTGTTTGCAGGGTCTTCAGCTGCTTCTATAACTTGTTTTGTACTTGTCAGTCACAGAGCAGCGATATTTCTGCTAGAAACACATTTGCTTCATTAATGTCATAAAGGATTACTGAACTCCTATTCACCATTCTCAGTCCCAACCTGGCTTCTTCAAATTATTAGACTGACGGGAACTTGTGTAGCTTTTGTTTTAAATAGGCTGCACTATACACGTAAAAAAACCCCAACCACCACTTATAAATCGTTTACCATAATAGAAACGTTATTGAACGAAAGTTTAAACGCAAAGTTTTTTTTTTTTTAAATCGTAAATAAGAGCCAAAGGATTTACAAAGGACTTACAAAGGATGGATTAAGGGTGAGGTTTCATTCTATAGTTCTTAAACGCGTGGGATTTTTTTTGGGGGGGGGGGTGCCTGAAAAGAAAGAACAAAACAACAACAAAGGTTTAAATCATTATATATGCTAAAGTAGGCTGGGTACATTTGAAAGGTAAAAACTTCTACAAAACTTGGTTTGCTAAACTTTATGCATTCAATATAAATCTGCCTAGACTCTTCTCCTTTCGAATTAATAGACTGTTGTTTCTTTCTAGGGTCGAAACGTGTAACTAACTACCTTCTGGTGGATTTCCCTCCCAAAGTAAAAAAAACATGTCGTTGCATATGTAAAACGCATATACATAGAGCTATCCTTAGCCACCATCAGCACCGGAGGCAGGACATCAGTCCAGCTGTCCTCCTTCCAGGATTGCTCTTAATTCTGGAGTTCCAACCAGATGGGCCAAAGACTTGAAACCGAGTGATGCCTTTGAAGGAAAACGGAGGAGGGAGAGGGGTGAAACAAATCGCAAGAGGCCACCTCGGCCATCATGAATGAAAGGTCTGAACCTAGTTTTCAAGGGCATCTTGGAAACCTTTGGCCTGTACCAGCTAGAAAGGTAGAACTCCTTCGGAATCTGCGATCTGTGGATATCTTCTTCACTGTCCGGAGAGGCGCCACACTGAAACATTTCCCGTGTGGTGGATCAAAAGGCGGTACGCAACAGAACTGGACCTAAAGGAGGTTAGTCTCTCAGGTGAAGACCTCGAAGAGGCAGTAGTAGGGTAACAGCCTTTTCTCTCTCCTGGCTGCTCTGCCTCTCGCCTCCCTCCGTTGCACTGGTTACACCTGGTGCTTTCCCCCTCCTCTCCAGCCTCCCCCCCCCTACAAAAAAACCCTCTTCGCTCCTGCTCTTCCTTTCATCTTCCGGCCCGGCAGACGCTCCTATTTATCCCCCGACAATCAAGCCAGTGGCGTCACCAGAGGTAACTGTAATGACGAATGCGTCATTAAGGGATGACAGCATTAGAAAGAAGAGGGCAATGGTAAGTTCCCTCCCAGAGCCGGCGCTGCACACTGGAGCGTTCGCATCACAAGGTAATTCCCCCGGCTCGCCCCGTTGGCAGCTCCCCTCCGCCTCGGTAGAAGAAGAAGAACTCGGGCGGGAGGGGGGAGAAGCCTCCCCGGAGTGGATGGAGGCTCGGGTGGGGGGGTTGGGGGGGAAGAGCGCCAGAACGCGAGAAGGAGAACCCTGTTGTGCTGCTTTAAAAGACACCCACGATGGAAACCAGAAAGGAGATGGTGCTGTTTCTGGACGGAGTTCATCTTGGCCCTCTGGCTGGCAAGAGGGCGCCTAATATGGCAGAGGCCGTGGGGGCCCCGGATCCACAGGACAAGATGATGCCCAGGATTTGCTTGAGCCCTAGAGCTGCCTCCTTGTCCTCCCGGGAAAATGGAGGAGCGGGAAGAGGTGCAGGAGGAGGAGAAGAGGAAGAGGAGGAGGAGGAGGAAGAAGAAGAAGAAGAGGAGGAAGTAGAAGTCCGACCAGCGTCAGGGACCGTCCCAGAGAACCGCTCCGCAGCAGCAGCACTTCTTTCTGCTAATCAGCAGACCTCCCTCCACCGCCTTCCCCCCACCAAAGCCCACCAAAGCAATTCTGACACCGAATCGGATTTCTATGAGGAAATCGAGGTGAGCTGCACCCCGGACTGCGCCCCTGACAACGCGGAATACCACCTCCAGCACGGCAAAGGTACCCGATCCCTCCCCGCTTCCCTTCTCTTGAGCTCCCCGGGGAGACCCATCTGGATTCGCAGCTGGGTGGGACGGGACAAGACTAGCGCTGCTGTTTGGCTCAGTCCTCAGAGCGCTTCCAAGCTGCAACTGGCAGCCGGTTATTCACTCTGGCTGAGGTGATTTCTGGATCGCCGCCTGCGTTTTATTTTCTTCCCCTCCCTCTTTGAACTGCCCTCCCCCGGTCTCCAAATCCTGAGGCTTGGTCGCTTCCATCTCTAATTGCCCACCAAGAGGCATCTGCAGTAAGCCACACACATCTCCCCCTTTGAAGTCTAATGACACGTTACTGGAGGACGTGAAATCGCATCCTCGCTGCAACAAAGAATTAAAAGCTTTACAGAATTCCCGCTCCGTGAAGCCTAGACTTCGATTGCAATAAATCCCCCCAGAAGCTTCTCTTTCTTTCCCTATTGCTGTGCCTAGCACTTTCTTGATGCTCCCTTCTTCCAAGATTATAGGATTGCCTGGTGCCCCCTGCCCCCTTCCGATTGCCAAGGAACAGGAAAGGAAAGCTTCCTCCTTAACATTTCACAGCAAGATCAAAAACATCCATCCGCTCCTGCCGGCCGTCCTGTCCAAAGGCTGTGTTGCAAGGAAGCGGGCGAGCAATTTTCCCTAGCGAAATTGCAGAATTTCCTGGGCGAATGAAGAAGCAGTCACAGTCCAGGCGACATCACACATGCACGTCCTCTCCCTCCGACAGAAAGACCTCGCTCTCGCTCGCTCTCCTCCCTGCCCCCATTTTTCTCAGCTGCACACCCTGCAGTTCTCATGTCCTCTTGACAGGTTTGTTCGAGGCCCCCAATTGCTCTTCGTTTCCCTGTCTTGTGGCGCCAGTTCGGAAATGGCTGTGGGGTTTAATGCCTTTGGTCTCAGGAGGACACCCTGATAATTGTCTGCAATGGAAAGGTCCGGAATGATTTCCCCTCCCCTGCCTGCCTTTCCCTTCCTTTCCTAAATCCCCAACTCCATGCTCCTTCTGTGAAAGGGATGCCCAGAGTGAAAGTTCCTGTTTGGCTTCTGAAAATTTCTTTCACCTGGAGCGGGGGACGGGACGCCATTCCTTATAAAGAAACAGAGAAAGAGCCGGCTGCGTGTAGTTGGCGTTTATAGACACGATTCTCTTATCGCGGGTAGCTTGGCAGTGACGGGGGCTTGGAGAGGGACGTGGCAGCCTCTTTCAGCCTCTTTACCAGGCCCCAAAAGTTGTCAGCTGGTGTCCCAGTCCTTTCACGCAACAGAAAGGGGGAATCCGAGAGGGATTCAGCGCCATTCCTTTTGCTTATATGTTTCGTAGTGCACTACAATACATAATCCAAAGTAGACCCTGCCCTGTCTTGTTCACTGGTGGTGTTCTGTGTATGGGTTTGAAGGTGGAATCTTCTATGCCTTAACTTCCAGAACGAGGCTGTAGCAACACAAAACACAGACAGGTGAGGGCACTTAACTGTAGCATAAACTTTTTGGTCCATTTGATCAGATGCAGGATAACAAAGGTGACGATTTTCCTTTTCTTGGCAAGAAGGGATATAGAAGCCTTTAAAACGCTTTTCCAATCGGAGGGGGAAGAGACATCTCGGATTTTTATTCTGTTCTTACAAATTCCTCTGACTGCAGGTGCTATCAAATAAATGTTAGAGAAAAGCTTGCCAATTCTTTCCGCTTCCGGAAAGGAGTTTACAGACCAGAGATGCCATCGCGTCCAAGGGGACGCCGGGATACGTCCCTTCCTAGGTTTCCTGACGCGTTGGCTTTAAATGAGAAGCTGAGCGTCTTTCATTGCATCGGATAGCAGTCTTGGTGCCAGAAAGTGGTGTGATGTGTAAATAAAACATGTCCAGGAAAAGGGAAAATACAATTTATAGGAAACTTTGTCCGGTAGATTTTAGGATAACTTATTCCAGAGTGTGGGCCTGGGGCTGCAGTTTCCTATGTGCAGTATAAACACTACAAAATGGGATTGGCACTGAATGACACTGTATCCTCATTAGAAAAATAGGCAGAAAAACCCGGTACATGTTCAAGTGGGGGTAATTAATTCGATTTACTCTTCGCTAGGTATTTTTAAGATTGTAATTTGAAAGGCAGAGAAAAAAGGCAGATCGGAGAATTTGGCCTCTAGATTCGGTATTCTCTATTGGATATCACTGGGTGGTCTTCAAATAACTTTTCTTTCTTCGTGGAGTACCAGCCTGATTAAATGCAACTCATGGGTTGTTCAAACCTTGAGAGTAAAACCTATATTCTATCTAACGAAATTTAGCCTCCGAATAAACGTGCCTACTTGTTAAAGCCCAGTGGATCAACGGGGCAAGCGATTCCCATTTGAGCAGCCCAATTTAATAAGGCTGAGCTGGTCACCGTGCTGCCCCCGTTCCCCAATCAACCTGTTGTTTTTATTTATTCGCTATCCATTTTTATTCATTCACTACACATGTGCTCTCTCTCTATATAACGCTTTGTATTCCTAGATTAAAGGACTGCCTGGGTCCGGCATCTTCAGAAGTCAAGGAGGCTAATTTGCTTTATTTCAAACGTGGGTGAACGGGCCCTGCCAACTCCCCAGGGTCCTTTCAATAGTACTGGAGAGGAACCCCTGTCCTGAGCCTCTGCTCCAAAGGGCTGTCCTGACGACACTATTGCCCGATTTGGAGTGGGAGGGGGAAGAAATAGAAATGGTGGTGGTGGGGGGGGGCACATAGTCAGAGCTCCAGCTGTCTTTCTCCCTCTGGATGGCTTCCTCTCTACTTTCCCCTGCAGGGCAGTGCTCGGATACTTCAGCTGAGAGCCCTAGCAGCGAAGGCGATCTCTCCAAGGGCAGCGGTGGCGCTGGCAGTGGTGGTGGAGGTGGAGGTAGTGGAGGTGGTGGAGGTGGAGGTGGAGGTTCTCAGGGGTCGCTGGCTTGCAGCGCCAGCGATCAAATGCGCCGTTATCGCACCGCCTTCACGCGGGAGCAGATAGCCAGGCTGGAGAAAGAGTTTTACCGGGAGAATTACGTATCCAGACCCAGGAGATGCGAGCTGGCCGCAGCCTTAAACTTGCCCGAAACCACCATCAAGGTAGGTTTGCATGTATATTTGGCCCAAACTCAGGAAAGATTTCGGAGCGTTTCCACGTGTCTGGGCTGGGACTTCGACCCTCCCCGAGTCCTCTCCACCCCCCCCCCCCCCCAGTTCCCCACTGTCAAACAGTTTCAAAAACAGCGCTCTTTTCTGGCGATGGTGGATCCTGATCCTCAATTGTAAACGGTTGGTTTCACCTTGGGATACGCTAGACTAGCCCTGCAGCGGTTTCTTCCTGGGAGAAGAGGGACTAGCCACCTGCTGGGGAGTAAGTCGCCTTTCTTCCTTCAGTGAAACTCCTTTCCAGGTGGGTGTGGCTAGGTCTACAGCTTTAGCCTTAGTTAGGGATAGTTTTTTTTAGGGACTTAAAATGTCAGCCACTTTCAAAAATCAGCTCCATGTAGTGCAAAGGGCTTAAAACGACGGTCAGGAAGGTCATCAATCCGCTCCCCACCCAACACTTGCTTGTTTATTTTGAGTCCACCTTAACTTGCCCTTCCCCCTCACCCACCCCACCCAACATCAACTTGTTATCTGGCTTGCTGAAATCAATAATACTTATTCAGAGGTCAAGCATTTAAACTAAAATGTCAGGCTTCAACCATGAGAATGGAAACATTCTAATGTCTAATTTAAGTGGGTTAAGAAAATAACATCTGTATCATTATACAAAGTAGTTGAGCAGATTTATTGGGGAATAAACACTTTAAAAACTAGGGAGATTCCTAGGTAATCTTATAGGCAGGATTTACTTATTTTTTTGCCTCTCTCTCCTGAAACAGAATTGCCTAATTTGAGTCTCTCTACGTGCATATTAAAGATTCATTTTCAGTGCGTTCGTATTAAGAAATTTTCTGTACATTTAGGCAGGCTGTCATTCAGACTGTTAGTTTCCCTGCACATCTTAGAGGCGAGAATTATCTGAAAGATCCTGAAAATATCTTGGCAAAGACTAAAAACTGGCAGAAAAGAATGAAGAGAAAAGAAAATAGGAAGCAATCTTGCTATTAAGCATTACTACTACTTATTGTTATTACATTTGTTATGAAAATAGCATTGATTCCTGCTACACCAGACTTATGCAGAGAGTGGAAGAGTATAGTAAGAATATATAATGTATGGATGTTCCAGGGGAAGCTTATTTTTTTATTCCTCATATTAGTCTACTGATCTGCACTTCTCCCATGTTTTTCACTCATTTATTCCATTCACAATAATTTTGTTTTATTTCTATTTAAATGTGAGGGCCACAAACAATTCCACTCCTTGACAATTGTGCAGATCTGGCAATTACATTACTGCCAACGCCAATAGATATAATGAAGCCTTCCAATCTGATTTTTTTTAATGGTGATGTGGGAGAAAATGCTGGGCACACAGCCCTATGCCATCGAAATCTTACATATCCTCAGTAGCCAGAGTTGCCGCCTGACGTCCCTCAGACGAGTCCTTCTACAGCCTCTGGGAAGGATGCCGAGGTCGGGCATGGAACGGAGGGTTGTGGCGGGATCCCAGCCTTGCTGGCGACTCAGCGCTTCTTTTGCTTTGCCTTTCCGTCCCCTTACCCCAGGTGTGGTTCCAGAACCGGAGGATGAAAGACAAGAGGCAGCGCCTGGCTATGACATGGCCCCACCCGGCGGATCCAGCTTTCTATACCTACATGATGAGCCACGCGGCGGCCACCGGCAACTTGCCCTACCCCTTCCCCTCCCACCTGCCCCTGCCTTATTATTCCCACATGGGCCTCGGAGCCGCTTCGGCCGCAGCCGCCCCCTTCAATTCCCCCCTGAGGCCGCTGGACACCTTTCGAGTCCTGTCCCACCCGTACCCGCGACCAGAACTGCTATGCGCCTTCCGACACCCCTCTCTCTATGCCGGTCCGACTCACGGGCTGAGCGGTGCCGGAGGGAGCCCGTGCTCCTGCTTGGCTTGCCACGGCAGTCAGGCGAGCGGGCTAATCCAGCGGCCTTCGGGATCGGACTTTAGCTGCTCGGCCACCACTCGGACGGACTCCTTTCTCACGTTTACACCTTCGGTGCTGAGCAAGGCCTCCCCGGTCCCGCTAGACCAGCGCGAAGAAGTCCCTTTGACCAGATAAAGGACCCATCTCAGGTTGCGCTGTTTTCCTCCCGCCCTCCCCGTCCCGGCCACCCTCCTTTCCAGAGACCACCCGGGCGGTGATCGCTCCTCTCCTAAAGTTCGATCCCCTCAATCCGTGGACATCAAGGAATGGAAACAAAAACCGAAAATAAACCTGGAAGATAGGGAGGATTTCTAACGCGCACAAATCCGCGGAAGAGCCTTGGCCAGCGCGAGGTGCGGGGTTTGGCGGAATATTCCCCAATGATGGGGAAAGTGGGGGGAGGGGGAGGGAGAATGATTTCTGCCACAGCAAAGCCAAGAGCTCCTACTTAGTCTTGAGGGAGTTTATCTCCGGCCTATCAGGGCAGATGCTCACCAAACCGCGGAGTCAATATTTTATGCATAACCTTATACGTGACTAAAAGGGAAATACTTGAAAGAAGAAATTGTGGATCCTTTTTTTTTAATTTTAAAAAGTGTATGTCTGATGAAAGTAAAGATTTATTCTTTGCCAGATTAAAAAAAAAGAAAGAAAGCAAAAGAAGGACCTTTGTGGATTTGCGATAGTGTCAATCTGTTATTATGCCTTTTCTTCCTTTCTTAGTCCGACATCCTTTAAAAAGTAAGTCTGAATTAGACATTAAAAAAAAGTTAACTCTTGGAAATACTAGCTCCACATATGCATATATACCCCCACGCATACATCTTCTGTGCACCACCTGAGGAGGGAGGGAGGGAGGGAGGGAGGGAGGGAAGAGAGAACTGAGAAAGCGGAGTCGACACAGAGAACCCAGAGGGATTAAAGCTATTTGTCCTTTAAAATAACAGCGTTCTACTGTCAGTCGCTGAATTGTGACCACACGGACCAAATTAACAAGTGATGTATATGTAGTGGGGAAGGTTCGCGCGCACACACACACACACACACACACCTTTTTGAAAAGGGAATCAGCTGCAAGGCTAATATTCTCAAGACAGAACCAGCGTGGCTGCCAAATACTAACAAGCCGCCAAGGGAAGAGATTAAACGGCAGGAAGCCGGATTTTTTTTCTCCCCGCAATCACTCAATCACTGGTCTGCAAATGAAAGTCGAATCTGTTTCCTTCTCCTTTCTGGTCTAATTTCAGTTCCCCAACAATATTCAGGTTTAGAAATGAGTTCTGTATTATCCACTGTATTTGTTATTGTAATTTCCTTTTTCCATATGTGGAATACAACTCTCCATTCCTATCTTTTTTTTTCTGAATCCTGGGTATGTTATACGTTTTTATCTCAATGAAATTACACCCAGCTCCTTAGGCTACCTGCTTTTTCATTGGTGGAAGGACAGTCCTCGACATTTAATACCGAATAACAATTTTACCCAACCCTAAGACATAATTTGGCTGGCTTTTTCTCCTTTCTGCTTAATTGGGACCATAAAGGATATAATATACTTGAGTTAATTCATTCATTTTAAACCATTGCATTATTTTAAAAGGTATGTATACATGGGGACAAAAGCAGGAAACTACTATTATTATGGTGTTGGGGTAGAACAGAAGATTTAAAAACATAAAAAATGTGGTATGCCCAATAAATTCTTTCATTTCAATTTCAAACATAATTGAAATAGAGGGGAAATGTTTGAGAGATTTGTGACTGGAAGGAAGGAAGATAGATATTTGGATATATACTGCTAATTTATGACAAATCTCCAAGGAAGTCATAGGGACTTCATAATTTACAGCCCCAATTCATAATTGCATAATTTACAGCCCCAATTCATCAGTGAAATAAACCTGATATCAGCTAGAATAAAAAGTCTACATTGTAAATAGGCTTTACAAAAACCACTGGATTAAAAAACCTGATCCTTTAACAATGTTAATGGGTCAAAGCAAAGTTATTGCCATTTTATTGGGAATCTTTAGGATTGTTAGGCTTCCCAATAACCTATTGTAGGGGGAAATATCGTTCTTCTAAAGATTCTCACTAATTCTTGTGATAAATTCCAGTTTAGAATACTGATTAAGGAGATGTAACAATGGGGAGAATCTATTCATTTGACTAGGAGGATTTCCTTATCTGGGAAGTCCTTCATTTTACCTTAAAATGGCATTATTTTCTAAAGACAAGGAAGGAGGAACTAAACTTTTAGAGCATTGCTTTTTATTTGAAGAAAGGTTCCTGGCACATTCCAAAACCTAAATACCTGGCAAATTATTCTCTCCAAGCACATGTAAAGAGATATCAAACGCAAAAGAGTGAAAATGAAAATGAACAAAAACAGGAACAATTATTTTATGTAATCCGTATTATTAAAATTGTTTAATGCACTATATCCTAAACAAATAAATGTGCAAACCATAAGATTAACTTCAAACGTACTGAAAATTCCCTAGACACCTAGGCTGATGAAGAGGAATAAATCCTACAAAAAATAAGTAAGACTTAAGTTTTTAGTAAAAATGGTTAATTCCGGGGTGCAAATTAAGTTCTAGATCAGTAATGAAAATATGTTAGGCTTCCATCTCTAGAACTCCCGAACTTCTAAGACCGAAATGCTTGGCCAATACATGGTTGGAACTTCTTAAGGGGGAACGCAGATTGAGGTTAATGTTTTGGTCTCCTGCAGTCTGTTTTTCGCCTTCTGTGTCGGTTGGGGATAATGGGAATTGCAGTCCAACTGAGTTGCATCATTTTATGAGACGATGCATAGAAGAAATAAAATTAAGGAGTTTTCTTTCCATCTGATTTGGTCCCCCAACTTTTTTTTTTTTTTTTTTTTGAGGTATAAGAGAGATTGGAAATCTCGATATGTTAATCATAATTGTACAACGGGAAAAGGTTGCCCTTCTATTGCCTAAATACTTGCTCATTGGTTTCTCAAGGCCCCCCACCCTTGTTTAGATAATAGGTAAAGACTTGAAATCCTCAGAAATATTGATCAATCTAACTTCAGCGAAGAAGTTCCAACTGTGTACTTCAGTCCTTTGCTCAGATCAAAATTCTTACACCATCCCGCCATCTGAAGTCAGTTTCCAAAGAAAGTCCACAAATCAGGAAAGGTAGGAAGTTTGCCTTCTAAAATAGACAGGCCCATAAATGTTCACACATTATATATGTTATTTTTCCAACTAAAAGTGATAATGAAGGCTGCAATTTTTCGGAACGGTGAATTTTTTCGTGGAAAGTATTTTGGTTATCCCATTCCCCCCCTACAATCCTATAAGCAAGTAGCACAGACTCCAGATGTGTGGGTGGCAGCTCTCCTAGATTAAACCAGCTTCCTTGGGACTATTGGTAGGTGTCGTTTGATGCATTGCTGTACGGTTTTCAAGATGCATGACTTTCAATTCCCAGAATTCCCTGGCCAACATTGTATGTCTGCATGGCTGGATAGAAACGTCCAAAAACTGCTAGCTTTGAGAAATCCTGTTCTATTGTGAAAGGCTAGTGTAGCAAAATCCTTTCCACTCACCACCCACGTACCAATACTCGACCGGACCCCCTGGGAATAAACTTCCTCCACGGACCGATTTGGCGAGGGGGGGGGGGGGTTAAAAGAGACGACGCCCTCACATCCTCCAAAAGGGCGGTTTCGTCCTAAGGTGTCAGTTCCGCATCAGGCAAATCCAGGTGACTTCTTAACACTTTGATGAGTCAAATATTTACAGGATTGCTGTGCCAAAACCTTGCGCTCGAACGGGGGGGGGGGGGGGAGGGAGGGAGGGAGACACAGAGAGAGATATTGGTGTAATGGAGACCAAGGGGTCTAAATTATTGTGGTGTATAATATTACAGATAATACACTCCGTAGTATACCTGTATTATCGTTTATTGTCGTTAAGGCACCAAACCATCTGGATGTGTTTGGGCCAGCCATACTTTCAGTGCCCTAGGAAAAAGGCAAGGGCAAATCGACCTCCATAAATATTGCCAAGAAAACTGAGTGGATATTGTTGGATAATTTCCAAAACACAAAATGTATGTATGTATCATCTATCATCTTCCGCCATGTCCCTGGTCCCTTTCAAGCCCACGGACGTTTTCAAGGGGCTCCTTTCGATCTCTCCCACCCTGCCTGGGAGGAAGCACCCTGGTAAGAGGGCAGAGGTGGCGGAACTCAGGTAAACAGGCTGCGAGGGGGCTGCGGTGCCAGGCGTATTTTCAGTTAATAGGGAGAGAAAATGAGGTGTCTGAAGCTATATTGGAAACTACAAGATCGATGATCCTCCCTGTGTCCAATCAGCAGCCTTTAATTGACTGTATTTTCTAGGTAATTGAGCCACCCTGCCTCCAAATTGAAGTGGAAGATATAACAATACATCTTTCTCCCAGGAATTACTCATTACTTCATAATGAAATTTTCCTTTTGCTCCTTCTTCCTCTTTCAATCCAAGCTGCCGTTTGGCAAGAGCTTCCAGGAAGAAAACGTGAAGAAAACGTGGCGTAGGAAAAATTATTCTTGCAGGGAGGGGAGGGGGGGCAAGGCCGGCAGTGATGGGACTGGTAGTTTCACAGGACTGAAGGGAACCGGGCTGGGAAGTTAATTTGAAAGCGGAGGGCTTGGTGAAGGAAACTCGAGAGGCACTTGAAAGCCTGAGAACGGGGTGGATGGATGGATGAGCGCGTTTGTGTATAAGTCTTGTATAAGTCTTGGTCTCTTTTAGCCTTCGAACTCCGTCCTGACTCCAGGCAACCTGAAAGGACTTTTCCTTGGGGGGAGGGGGGGGAGGGGCTGGTGGTTGTCCAGCTGCAGCATTTCTGAGCGGAGTTTGGGGGCTCTGCCCAGAGCAGCACCGGGAGGAAAGTGAGGCGCCTGCCTTCCCTCCTTCTCCCTTCTCGAGCTACTCGTCTCCCGGCCCCGCCTCAGTGCCACTTGCCAGCCAGCCCGGCTCGTCTTCAACAGGCCAGCCGGCGGGTTGTTAGCGGGTGATTGATTGCCTTATTAAAGCGTGTTCTTGTAAGTGTGACCGAAGGGATTGCACTGCATATGTTAGAAATAATGCTCATTTTAAGCAAGGGAGGGA